TATTGATTAGAATATATCAATGATAATATACATTAAACTATTTTATAATGCAATTTAATACCAATGACATCAATCTTGATATTGAGATCTATAGAGTCGGGTATTAAGTATTGGACAGACTATGGCTATTGATTTATCTATTATAATAACTCTACCGTAATTTAATGGTAGCAATGGTAGTATGAGTGGTATTGTTGGTCATACTAGAGATTTTAAGCAAAAAATATGATATAACTCTAAACTTAATGCATAACTCATAGCTATGTATCTCAAGTGGATTGTGATCTCTAAATAAATCAGTCAATTGACACGAGAGCGCCATTTCCATCGGGGATTACATGACTTTGTCATGATTTACGACAACGACATTACATTATATACTTTCTCTTTAAATCCAATATCCATTTCATGCCATTTCTATGACTTATTAGATTCTTATTTTTATTTTACATTATATTAACTGAAATACAGTGTATTTTATTTGTGTATATATTTATGAGTTAAAGAAATAATTTCATCAAAGCTGTGCTAATATTTATACAACAATTCAATTGTTTCTATAAAGCAAAGAGTAAACACATTATTTTGATCCCAATTTACTGTTCACATAATGCATTGAATAATAAACTCGTATAATGTTAAAAGTTTTTACATCTATTTTATGTTTTTATTTAGTATAACAAACATTGTTTCAAATAACTAAATTATCTCAATTTTACTGCACATAACCGTCACTATCTCTTCAAAGAATCGCTTCAGAGGTCGCTACCATCCTTACCATTAATACATCTGAAACTTACCATTAGATTAGTTAGACTCTAACTTAGAGCCTAACTTAGAGGCAAACATTTATTGACAGTCCATTCATTTTAAAACTATTCTTAATTATCGCTACATTCCCGTCACGTATTATACTCTCTCTCTCTCTCTCTCTCTCTCTCTCTCTCTCTCTCTCTCTCTCTCTCTCTCTCTCTTCTCTTTCATTTATAACTATTTCATTTTATATCTCATATTTGTATTATCATTCAAATTATTTCCAAAAAACTGCCAATTGAATTAAATAATATAATTAATTAATATATAAAGTAATTTATAGTATAAAACAAAATTAAATTGTTTATATCATGACTTAGCAATCATTGCATAATTAATAAATTTTAGTCTTAATTTAAAAATTTCTTTAATAGTATATTTAGACTAAAGTTAATATTACTCTGAGATATTAAATAGCAAATAATTTCGTCCAAATGGATTATATACGTGATATTATATTTAATAAATTAAATAAATAAATATACAGTAATATATTGAAGGTTAACAACTAATTAATATAATTTCTCTGTTTTATCAAATATAAAACAACTTTAGGAAATCGAAATAATAGCCAAAAACAGTAGATTTTATGGGTTTTTAATTATGGCATTAATTTATTATGTGTTTTGTGGTACTGAAGAAAGTTTTTACAACTTTTTATGAACTGTTTTGTCATTTATGGCATTTAAATGACTACACCTCTAATCCTAAGCTATGAAATAGCGAAGAAACACTTAAAAAAGCGAAATAACAATTATTGCTGACATAAAACTCATATCAAAAATTATTACTACAAATAAATATCACTTGTTTTGTATTAAATTAATATAAAATTGTGTTTATTTTATAACTGTTTTTAATTTATTTATATGTGAAAAATTCGAGTGCTTTGTACTCAATGAACATATAAATGATTGTTATATTATATAACATTATTACTAATAAAAGTTCACAAAAGTGCACATCACTCGGCAATAAAGTTTGCAATTATTATATGTCTATAAATTTGTTTTAATTTTATTACTTCATACAAAAAACAATAAATTCAATTACTTCGTTAGATATTTTATACAAATTTGTAATATATTTAATATTTGTATAAAATTGTTGTTTAGAAAATTTAAAGATTTATCATAAGTGAATAATAAAATATTATTAAATATAAATATTAATAAATTTACATTGTCAACAAAACATAGATTTTAAATAAAATGTTATATAATTTATTGTAATAACATAACTGTTATAATTGCCATAAATGCCTAGATATGAAACTTATAAACAAATAACATATAAATTATAAATATATTAATAGTTAAATTGTTATTAAGTTAACAAAATTATTTTATATTTGTGTTATATATATATATACCGAACGATGCTTTTTAGTTTGTCACATTATAATAGAAATTAGTTACAATATAATTAAATTTTAATAGTGGTAAATCTTTAAAAAATTACAAATCTTGATTAAATAGTTTTTTGATAATAGATTAATGTTAAAAAACCTATTAATTTATAAATTTATATTATTGTATACATTGTAACTATAAAATCATAGAAAGGTTTAACAATATTTAAAAAAATGTTTCAGTTAAGAATTTTAATTTGAATTCTATATCATAAATTATATTTTGTTTTTATTATAAACCATATTTTAATTAAAGCCTCTTAAATATAAAACAAAAAATTATAAAATAATATGCTTTAGTTAGCAAAAATTTGGCAAACGAGTTATCCATTTTTGTTTTTAAGCCATTTATATATTGATTTTTATGAGTCATTTCAAACAGTCTCTCTCTCTCTCTCTCTCTCTCTCTCTCTCTCTCTCTCTCTTATTCTGTCATAAATATTCAGGGAGTCATGCATTACCTGGCAGTATATGCTCTGAATAAATTGAATTGATTATATATATATTTTTAAAACTATGTAAATATAGAAAAAAATATAATTGAAGTAAATTAATTAATTGAAATACACTCTGAAATAATAAGCAATATAAAAGTTGCTTTAAATTGTAATTTAAATAAAGTTAAGGTTTATAAATATTTAAAATTTTTAGTTTATACTGTATATCGAACCATTTATTTTTACACTTTATATTTTATACATTATATTAATATAAATAATATATAAATTAAATTTTTTATATATCTATGGCGTTTGCGCTAAACTACACACCAATCATAGGCCCAGAAATGTTGATATAATATATATCTAGTGTTAGTTAAAACATTTATTATATTTGATTTTTCTTTTCACTGCTCTCTCTCTCTCTCTTTCTCTCTCTCTCTCTCTCTCTCTCTCTCTCTCTCTCTCTCTCTCTCTCTCTCTCTCTCTCTCTCTCTCTCTTATAAGACGGAAAATATAAGCCCCAAAACAGTGATAGTAGTGGTGGTTTTATACCCGGGAATGGGAGCAATGGTAAGAAATGTGATGATCACACGTTGGTTCATATGATGGTTGATTTCAGCTTCTATAGCTCTCTTCCCACGTTTGATGTAAAGCCGTCCAACAGCTCAGTGAGCCTTTTGTGTATATATATTATAACCCGACAGCAGATTTAGTTGATGGCAGACTTCTCGTAAATTATATGCGAAAATATGAACCAACACTAAAAGCACACTACATATGACTCCCAATAACCAGAACAGAGAGTAGAATAGATCAGAAATAGGGAGTACTGTTGAGGAGGACTTACTACCAGTTCTCAGAGATACTGCAGTTTACTGTATAATACAGTAATAGTGGAGTTTGTATTAAAAACGTATACTTTTTGGTTGAAATTTATTCACATATAGAGTTCACTCAACGGTTATGTGATTTCAATTGAGATTCAATGTATTGATTATACAATATGTTTGTAGAAATATATATATACAGAGATACCCATTGTGTAAATGAGTCGTTTGAACAAATAAAGGACCCGTCGATTGGTTGCACTAATTCATGGCACAGACCATCCACTAAGGTATCGGGCGCTCAATTTTGGCTCTTTTGTCAGCCAATAATATAAAATATTAATGTTTGTAATCCCTTTTAAAATTTGATGTTTTTGGCTCTCAAGCAAACAACACATTATGAGTAAATATTTTTCAAAGATCAGCATCTTTTAGATCATGTATTGCATACCATTTAGTGTCTCAAAACAACATAATCTTTACTACAAATAAAATGCAAATTTTGTTTAAATTCATTAGACTGTGTCAAAGCTGACTCAGAGATGTAATACATTTTTTGTAAAATGTTATTTTAAAAATATTATATATAATATATTGTTGGAAACTCTGCACAAAAAAATTAGACAACTATTTTAATATATATCTTATAAGAGGAGAGTAATATGTATGGTAGTGACGGTAGAGATGATACAAAAAAGCAACTCTAAGGAGGAGTTAACAGCAACTCCGGGCAAACCAGCCTTCCATTGATATGCACACTATTTTCCACGGTTTTGATTACATCAATGGCTAAGTTATAGACTGGAAGGACTCAAAACGTGATTTAAGTGCTTCTTGACAGCACATCCTTAGTTTATGTGCTTTTTCTTTCATTATTATATCAATTGCCTTTTCATCTGATTTTCATACAATAATACCTTTCCATTGACTCAAAAAAGGTATTAAAATATCTGAAATAATTGTCACTTGAATTGGTCCTCACTATCTCTCAGAACCGATTGTAAAACAAGTTTTTATTTGTAGACCAATTTCGACAATTTTTCGCTTATTTTATATGAATATATGTTCAAAAATTATATTTTATGGTTTAAAATAATCGATAAAAAAGTTTATTTGAGTTATAGTATAAAAAAATATTTATAACAGAAAATAAACGATTTTTCTGTCAAAACTGTATATACTGTATATTATTGTAATAAATTGGATGTAATGTTAAATATAAAGATCGAAGAGTCATAAAGATCTTTCTGAGAGATAGTCAGTGAGTGTGAGTGAGAGTTGTGTTCACTTAAAACACTTTTATATGTTATTTCAAAAGCAAATGCTATACAAAAGTGTGTGTCTCTGACGGCTCTCAACTATAATATTTGATGCATTGATTCAAACTCTTGAAGATCACGCAAATGAGTAGTACTTGAATAATATTAAAGTTTACAATTGATGTTTAAATTGTGTATAACCAGAGATTCAGTGCTCTTTATTATAGTTGTTGTTGTTGTCGGTGTTATTATGTTGTGTCCTCACCTCTAATACAACAATTATATTATACAATAATCAACTTTACATATGATATTGAGGTGAGCTATTACTTGCATTTTCATCATAACAACGATATTTTATTTATATTATTAAGATTATCGTTAATAATAATTCAATAATTATCTTGTTTTTACTCTATTTAATATTATAAGAGTAAGTATAAGTTAACTCAACTTTTCATATTATAATAACTTATTGATACATAAATTATATTTTTGACTTATAAAAATTTTTATGTTGATTTTTGCAACAATTTTTATGGATTATTTGTAAAAAAAATATTTAGGAAAAATATTTATATTTATATATCAATTCTTTTTCATTAACAACATGTTTGAAATAAATTTAAAAATTATTATTATAAACTTAAACATAAATTTGATAAAATAATTATAAAATATTTTTTTTAGTTAAACTTTCTTAATAGTTTTAAGTGAAAATATTTATCAAATTTATAGCTATTTTAAAAAAGCACAGTTATATAATTAATACTAATGAAAATATAATGGCATAATAACTATGTTGAAGACAACTAAGTGACAGTAGTCTAGTTAGGTGTAAATTGTGTGCATTTTATATGTTTGAAAGTCAATTCATTGCATTAAATGTCATCAGTGATTGTTGTGTAACATTATTTCTATTTATCTATTATACTATAGTAAGTTTGTGTGTATATTTGCAGTTAGTGTTACTTAACTTTTATATGACTATATCATACATTACATATGATTATATGGCACCCATAGTGTTCCTCAATAATATATTTAAGGTTGTACCTAACAGTGAGCCCTGTGCTCCAACTATAGTAGTATAGTCGGCACTTGTAGAGCTCATCATAGACTCATAGCATTCAAATTGCTTTATTATGAATTGCAAGCGATAAAAATCATAATAGTCTTGTAAACACCTCATAAATGTTATATATTTATATTATATTATAATAAACTATATATAAATATATATATATATATATAACTTATATTACATGTAATTGAAAGAAGAAGTGCTAACTGTATTGCAATTAATGACTTTCCTCTCATTCGATACTTTTTACTTAACTTATGTGTTAGTAATTCTTAAATATTTTTAGGTTTTCTATAAAATATTGATTATTATTAATAATATATTGAATATTATTAATAATATATTGAATATTATTAATTAATAAATTATACATATATTTGTTTATTTTGCTTTATTTTAACTTAGTTTATCAAATGGTTTGTTTAAAAAAATAATTTAATTATATTAATAGTATTAAGTTTAAAATTTATTTACAATATTTAATAACATAGTATAATATATTGAATCTAATTTAATGTGATGTCCAAATCACGATTATTAAACAAATGATATGGAATGCCATTGAATGGCAACCATTTTATTGTCGTTTTAAAAATAATTTTATACATTATTATCGTTTTTTGATATATTATTTATATAATTAAATATAGTATTACTTTGAAACATAAGGTCACGTACCGGTTGGCTATCTATTTGTGTGTTGCAAATAGCACTTCTGCCACCTCAAGGATTCCCTTTATATATATATATATATTCTGTATATTACTTTTAAAGTGAGTTTGTTTGCAATTATAGCGACTATTATTTAGGGCTCGTTTAGGACTTGCAATCCGACTACTGAACTAAACTAAACATCTTTTAATGATAATTCAGACAAAGATAGCAAACGACGAGAACTACTTTAATGTATTGCAATTATTTTGGTTTCTCTCAAATACACATCAAATTATTTTCTAATTTTATTTGCATATAATTTTATTTTTAAAAATATCTTAAACTTCTTACTTATTTCTTATTATTAATTTTATTAGCATTTATATCGTTATAAAAATATTTTGTTTATTAAAACTATATTATCATATAATTATTGTGTGAACTTATTTTTTGTTTTATTATTTTTTATAGGCAATTTTTTAAAACCATTTATTTATTTTTAGTTTATAATACAAAAATAGTTTTTGCAGTTTTAAATTACATTTAATTTAATTAACAATTAATTCTTATTGTTAAAAGTTAAATTAAATGCATTTTTGTGTCTTAAAGTTTATTAAATATATGATAGGACTATACATGTAGACCTCATTTACATATTAATTAAGAATTATGTAATGATTATGAAGAGAATATCTTCTGGACTGTCGGGAGAGGAGACGTTTAGTCTGATATTTATTAGTGAAAATGCAGTATAAGTTGTATTCTCCACCTCAGCTCATGTATATTATTATTGCCAGTGAGTCCAGTGTTTGGTTAGTATTTTTTGTATAGTAGGGCGTGAATCGTGAAATGTTTGTGTAAAAGCAAATCATAATTTTGAAGTTCACTACACCTGCCTTACTATTTCTGATCGCATCTACTTCTCAGATAGGAATGCCTGCCATGGAGTCGATCGCTGAAAGACAACGTTTGTTTCAGTATATAAATATATTGTATATATGTATATATATAGTATATATTGTATATTATATTTACTATATATTTGTGTATATATCTGTATATTTATATACAGTATATGTGTGTTGCGATGTCTGTGCAGTTATGGTTTGTCTGTTTCTCTGTCCCTTTTAGTGTCAGTTTTTTGTTGTTGTAAACTCAGTCTCTAACTCATTATTAAGCTATAATATAATACAACTATTATACTGTTCATTGTGTTTTATACATTATGTTTAAGTGTTAACTTATTTTGATCATAACATTTATTAACTGCTTAATATTTATTTATAAACACATAATACCGATATAATGTCAAATGTAAAAATGTGTCTACATTGGGGAGGCGCCCAAAATATGGTTTATATTTAAATATATTGTGTTTAGATATAACCAATAGACAGACACTGTTTGGCACTTTTTTTGGTCATTTTTGTAAAGCGAGACAAAGCACATCATAAATGCTAATCAAGACATACAGTACTGTAGGACTTATTTAAATGCATGAGAGCTAATGCACAGACATATTAAGCGAAGGTAGTGTTTATCATAATCAATGTTATCATGATTTGAGTTTGGATGACATGTTTTGCACAAAGTTATCATTTATCCAAATTTGCATTAATGTCTTCAACTGTTCATTAGCTGTTCTGTCGTGCATTTCATTGCATTTCTCTGTCTCTTATTCTTTGTTTTAGTCTTATCCTCTGTTTTTTCATGAGCTACCAGTCCTGTGAATGTTGTGAGACGTTGTAATTAGTTTTTAGTCTTATATATAATATCAAAGTCTGAATTTTAGTTATTTAGCATTTGTGAGTCTCAATGTATATAATCTACAACATATGCAGTATATGTACGTATAAATTATATAATATAAATACTATATATATATATATAAGTTTATTCTCATTAATATCTGCCAAAATTCCAAGGGTTGGGTTTGTTTAGCAAAGACAAGGATTGGCCCCCAATCATGACGTCTACAATACATCATACATCAAATGATCCTATTTTTGCTTTAATCTAATGTCGGCAATGCTTTATATTTAATTCAAACTTATGTCTTGTTTAATGAACTTAAAATGATTTTGTTTTATTACAAATATTCTTTATATAAAATGAGTAAAATGTACATGCTAAATTTCATCATCAAACTTACCTTAAATTGTGCTTTTATATAATCTCTTATAATATTTAGATAATATTCAATTGTTTTAATTTATTACTTTATATATTTTTGCCATATGGTGTAAACCAACTCTAATGTATTTATACATTTATATTATGTTTTGCTATATAATTATATTTTTTAAGTTCAGGTAAGCAATTAATAAAATTGTCATTTAATATACCTATTGTTATGATTTATTGATTATCATCGATGTCTGCGCACAATATGTGTCTTTTATTTGAATGCCATTATTTTTATAATATAGAAACGATAATAAACTCATTTTTTCTCATTTAACTAACTTATGGGTAAATTGCATGACTCTTAAGTTATCTCTCTTTCTTTCTTTCTATATTTCTCTCACTAACTTACTCTCACTTTTCTTTCATTTTATACTATATTTTTATATCACTAACTAATTTTATCACTCATTCAGGTTTTTTTGAGATTTTACTACAAACACATAAAACGAAATATTAATATAATTTATAAACATAATAAAAAGTGCCATTAATATATATATATATATATATATATTAAAATTTATTAAACAAAATTTTTAAGGAACAGTTAAATAAAAATATAACTGTAATTGAAGTTGATATTTACATAATTTTTCAATAACTCACTTTTATATGATAAAATGTATACTTATGTAAAATATACATACTGTATATTGTTGCAAAAATGTATTTTGAATGTAATGTTAAACTGAATAATATTGGTTTAATAGTTGATGTTATATTTCTAATAATAGATTATATAATATAAGCCTTATTTCTTATATATTTATGTAAACGGTATGCATAGTAGTGTTTGCGGTGCCCTTTCAATAGTTTCAATACATAGACTGTCAGAGACTGTCTTATATAAGCATAACTAAGACTATGTTTGGCCGCAAATATAAATGTTTTGCATTCGGAGTGCTTTGAGTTTCCAGGAATTGTTGCCATCACTGACTGCTTCTCTATTTTTTAACACAACCTAAACTCCAATTGTTTTTGTTTAGAGTACTCGCTTGAAAAAGATATAGATTAGAGCTAAAAGCTATGTCTAAAAAACAGACATTGGCACAGATAGACAGACAGACAGAAAGAAAGAAAGAAAGAGAGAGAGAGAGAGAGAGAGAGAGAGAGAGATGTCAAATGTGGTGAACGCGCCTTTGAATTGTTTTATGAGTCTTTCCTCAGGTCTAACACAGATTGCTTTGGACTCAATACTCGATAGTTTTTAACAATTTTGGTTTTCAAAAAAAACACAGACATATCATTTGAGACATTGAGAGCAATTGATTAGATTATTTAAAGTTAAAAACTTTTTTTAAAATACAAATGAATTAAGTTTAAGTTGAAACCAATCGATAGTTTAATATTTGAAAGCATTAAATAGAGAATTGTTGTAAAGGTTTGCAAATCTTAGTCCTTGATTTGTAATCTGAACGACAAAAAAATTAATGGAAATAATTTTCTCAGAAGAAAATAGAGAGAAAAATACAAAAATAGTTTTCAATTCATTATATGATATAATGTTTATATGATTTCCAGTCTTGAGTTTGTTAGGCAATGTGTGTATCATTTGAGGCCTGTGTTGTCTATACGAGAATAGGGAGAAATACAGTGCAATAGGAATGTAGTGAGAGATGTGCCGCTCGGGACTCACTGTTTGCCCAAATGTTGAACCGCTTTGTTTCCTGCGGCTCAACACAACTTTGATATATTATTTGAAACATTTGAGAGACACACAAATAATACAGATATTTCACTATTTCTTAGGCCTCACACGTATCCAAACTGTTTTGACTTTCTTATGTAATAAAATAAAGTTTGAATCTCAATGATTGTTCACATATTTTATAAATATTATTGATTTGTGACTATCATATAATGTGATATAATGTATGTAAAGTTAAAGTAAAATGAGTTATGGGTTAGTCTTCATAGTCTTTATCTAAATGTATTGCTTGAAAGCCGTGTCAGTGTGTGTGTGATATGTAGTGTATATACAGTATATGTGTGCAAATGTGTGTATCTGTGGGTATGAGATATTTGCTATAATGTTGAGCCTGTGGTCAGTCGAGACAGAGTTATAAAAACCGTTAAGTTTTATTGCACTCATAAGAGAGTGACTTCCGTTTTAATACATTTACAGAATCTGGTGGACCTGTTCTTCACTTTTATATATGTTTTGGTAAAAGTGTTGCCAATTCCTAGAAATAGTATAAATAAAATAAGTCTAAAAAAGAATAAATAAATAAATATCATAAAAGACTAATAAATTATTTTGTTTATATAAAACAGGTTAAGCCTAAAGTTAGAGAACAGGCGGCTATAGAAAGAGAGAGAGAGAGAGAGAGAGAGACAAAAAATGTGTGATATGAGTACATATTACCCAAACAATGGGGGTTATGTGTCGGGACCCACACCTCATGACCAATACAACGGTGAAACACATCATCACGTGATGAATGCTTGTCATGAGAACGGTAGAGGACCGCCACAAGTACACCCTTACCATCAAATGCAATACGGAGGTCAACAAACACAACAACAACCCAATTATCCCCGATTCCCACCTTTTGATCGAATTGAGGTCAAGCCTTGTCCCGACGGTACAAATCCACAAGAGCCTAGTCCTTACTACAACTGCAACACTAACAGTGCACCGGCACCTCATCAACCTAATGTACAGCAGCCGCCACCACCACATCAACAATCAGTTATACCCATTCAATACGATACATGCGGTAGTCGCGGATCTATAACACCTCCTCATGAATCACAACAACAATATTCAAGTTGCAAAATGCAACAACCAATGCACCCACACAACGATGGTCTGTCCACTGGTCTGCCCAATATGATGGCAGGAGGACCGCCCTGTTCGCCGCCGTCGCCACACCACACACAACACCATCAAATGTATCAGTCTGGAGGACCCGTTCCCAGTCCTCAACAAAACTCCAATCCGGGACTCTCGTCACCACTTTATCCATGGATGAGATCTCAGTTTGGTTTGTTATCTCTTTCCATATATTTACTTAAATTCATTAACTTTAGATCTTATCAATGAATTATTGGCTAACATATTGATAGTCTATATTTACATAACTCATGAGATTTTGCTAAAACTTGCGATTCAAATCCGATTGACTTATAGTTTGCAAAATTTTGCATTTTTCCTAATAGTTTTGAAATTATTTTAAAAATATTAAAAGAGTCTAAAACTTTAAAATTTTTATAGTTTGCATTATAATAATTTAATTTTAACTTCAATTAAAATATATTAAAAATTTGTGGCTTAAAGTGTCTTATGTTATTTACAATTTTAGCACAAATTTAAGTTATTTAATAATATTATTCCTTAAAATCAATGAAAATATATAAATATATTCTAAAGACAAATGATAAATAATAGTATACTATTCAAAAATACTATTAAATAAAATAAAAATAGCCTAAAAACCTATTTGTAATATAATAACAAATAAATAAATAATTAAATCATATGAAAAAGCGCTTATATCGTTAACAAGTTATTAAATAATAAAATAAACCTATAAATCAATTTTGAAAGTGAAATAATAATAAAATATCTGTCACATATTTTTTTTGTCGAAAGGCTTGTTATTAATAATATATTAAATATATTTATAAGATTTTATTATCCAAGATTTTTATTAAAATATCTATGATATAAATCTTTATAAAGGTAATTTAAAATACAGTATATAATCATTTTGTATTTAATATAGTATATTTAATTTTTTAATAATAGTATATTTAAATATTTAGTTTATTTAATTTACTTTATAATTTTAATGACTTAATTTATAACATTGTATTATTTGTATTACATTCAGTATCTAATTTACATATATCTCAGTAGTAAATAATAATTCTTAATTTAAAAATCAATTAAATTATTTATTGAGATTTAAATAATAAAATATATATACAACTATCTATTATTATTATTATTATTATGTTTTAAGCTAATAATTACTTATAAAATAAAAATTTGCTATAAAAATGTACGTAATATAAAAAACAGATTTATAGTTGTAAGTTTATAAATTTTAATTTTAAAATAAAAAATGAAATTTCAAATGCCAAATATCTTTAGGCTTAACTGTATATCATTCAAAATATGGTAATTTTAATACATAATAAACATAATATATAACTAATGCGATTTTAATTAGATACGATTAGATTAATGTCAGATATATAGTAATTGCCATTTTATTTCATTAGACATTTTATATTTTACGATCACTTTCTTTATTTGTATCTATTTTGCTGTTTAAAACTCATAGCGTTTAAAATAATTTATAGGTTTTATGAGAATTAGTTTTTAGTTTGTATTTTTTAAATGCTAATAATAATAATAATTTATACTTTTTTTAATATAGTATAAGATTATTAAAAGAAATACGTTTAAAAGTATTTTATTAAATCATTATTGATAATCGTGTTTATTATTAGTTTATAAATCATAAATCGATATATTTAAATTTATATTATTATAAAAATTCAAGAATTTACAATTAGTAATCAAAATCAAATTGTTAATTATCTATGTATTATAACAATACATATGAATAACTATATTATTATTCTAAAATGTCATACATATCTATATTTGTTATTTCATATAATATTAATAGTATTAAATATAGTACTGTATTCTTAACTCTACACTTTTTTAGTGAAAATTTAGTGTGAATTATAGCCTGAGATGACTGTAACATAACATAAGCATAAATATATAATTTAATTTTTTATTAGATTATTTATATAGTTTATGAATGAAACATAAGTTTCTAATGTCTTTTTAAATTTATAATATTTGTGTTTTAGCATTAATTAAAATATAATTAAGTTTTTATCTGGCCATATCATATCTTAATTATACATAAATATTAATCAAAATACATTTTTTATTCTGCAATGGCTGTAATAAATTATGTTTTTAAAACAATAAAATAAAAACTGATTTACAGTTTATTAGCTATAAATTTGTTTAATAGTCAATCAAATAAAAACAAAAGATATTTTTATAAAAAAGATATTCTATTTGAAAGAGGAAAAGAAAAAATTGTTTTTTAATACACAGTAATGTAGTGACAGTCAGATTAATAATAGACATAAAATTTAAATATTATTTTTTCTTTTAAAAAATCTTTGTATTATTTCTCACGGCTTATGTCACCATTTTTTGTAGTCTCTTTCCCTATGATTTGCTAAACAGACGCTCACAAAACAACAGTGTCTGACACCAAATCTTTCAAACATCAAAATTAATGTGTTTTGCCTGTAAATCATTAAGCAGACAGTAATTCAGCGTTTATTTAAAAATATGTTCACTTACTATATATATATATTTTGGTTAATTTAAAAAATTATTTTATGAGAAAACTTCGTATAAGAGGCGAATAAATTTTGTTTTAAGTTTTTTGCTTAACTCACAGACAGAAAGAAAATGAAGATTTTTTAGATTTTTATTTTCAAAGAAATATTATTCTCAAACATTTTTGCTATTAATGTATATTTTTTCACTTTTTAAATATCATATATACTAAAAATCATTATTGAACTGAAATATATTATATCAAATTTATATCATTTTGTAAAGCATGTGAAAACATTGTGTAGGCGAATGGGGTAAAATTATTTTATAAATTATTATATAAATATAATATACTATTATAGATTTTTATTAAATTAGCTGAAATGTTGCAAAAATTATCATTTATTATATGTTTTCTTAAAAAAAACAATATAATAAATAATGATTAATAAATATTTATTTATTTTTTTTTAAATGTATTTTAAATTTTTAGTTATTAACAGTTTAATAAAAATGCTAAGAATATAGAATTGTAATATAAATTATTAATATAAAATTTAATTAAGTTTGTGATCTAAATATTAATTTAGTTTTTTTTTTATATTAATAGGGCTTAAAATAATAAAATATATGCTATTAGTTGTCTTTTTTTGACTGTCAAAATGAAATATGTGTTCAAATACTCATATATATAGTAATATTAGAAATATATGACAACTAATCATAAATGCTATGACAAAGAGTAAGTGTTTTAGTGGGAACAGCCCTTAATAGATATATATATATATATATTAGTTATTTAGAGATAATCTTCAAAATTTATTAACAAAAACTTATTACACAATTTATTAAAGCTATGAACCACTTATCATATAAATACAACCATTTCATAGCTATGTATAAAAGAGAGTCATATGTAGTATTAAACAGTATGTACAGTACATACAGTCATTACAGTATAATAATGAACTGTATATACCGGTGCCATCTATAGTGTACGCGTGACATGAAATCAATATATTTCTGGTGAGAGCACTGTTAGTAACACACCTTTAGGTGCCAGTAGTTGAGCCCCTGGTTTGCAGTGAGTGTTGCCATTGGAGATACACTTAATATGCAAACCAATGGTATGCATTGACTGAGCGCTGCATCCAATTTAAACTTTAAAGCACTGCCTAATAGGCTTTCCTATGAATGACTGATTATAGCTATTGAAGACTAGTTGTTGATGTGTGTCGAGTGCAGCGCTCGTGTAGTTAGCGTTTGGTTGGCATTTGGTGTGTAATTAAAGTATATTGACTTGACTTCAACTGAGATCGCGCTACCGATTCTGTAATATTGTGTTCATTCATTGTATTCAACAATTCACTCAATGATGACGTCCTTTACATTTAAATTATAATTTAATATATTATTAAATAATTTGTATTCATTTTGTTTTACTCTATGAACTGTTTTTTAATGATTACTTTATTACATGTTTTTAATTACATATTCCATACCCTTTGTCACACTTTTTATGTCATTATTATTAACACTTTTATTAGCCATTTATTTCTCTCTTTATTGTCTATTAGTAGTGCTTAACATAGAATTTGCAATATTTGTTATAATGAATTAGGTTTTGTATTATTTAGATATATTACAAGATATAATTTATAAATATTTACAATTTTATAAATATTATATAACAATATTTCTTTATTATAGAGTTTGTAATACTCTATTTATACCACGAGTTTATTTATTTGCTTTTTCATTTCATGACTTATTTTTATAAGATATAATATATTCAATTAATATCAATCTTCATTAAAATTCAATAACAAGTTAACAATATTTTTTCATAAAATTTAAAAAAAATAAAATTTATGTTTCAATTGACTTACTGTATGAATTAATTTAAAACAATATAAAGTATTTTTATATGACTTGAAAATCCTTTTTTCCAATTATTGTATTTTTGAAATGTTTGCTATATTGCCCGTCTTTTAGTTAGTTTCAGTGTTTGTGTTATTTTCATTAAAATTGAAACTCAAACTAATAAGAAAAGTTATTTTTTGGTTCGTATAACTTATTGTGAATCCAATTAAATAGAAAAATAAAGTGATTCTCTTGTGATAGAAGTGAGACTATAGTTGAGCTTTGGATGCATTTGAGAGCTGAGAAAAGGCATTAGAAAAGTTTGTATCATTTCCTATGGGATTTGAGTCCATTTGATTGCATAGCTTTATGAGTTGGTTGAGCGCTCACATCACATACAATGCCATCATTGCTGACTTAATCCATTGTAGACATTGATAAACTGGTCTTCACTTTAGTTGTTCTCCTCCTCCTCCCAAACAACAACTGAGATAAAGGTTCTCTACGTGTTTGTCCTATTGAAAAGGCATTCCCTTTAATTAAAGCCTTATATAAGTTATACGAATATAAATTTATCACAACTCAAGTTTTCCTATTTTGTTTCATTGTATTGCTTGAGATTAATGTTAGTTTTCTAAATATTTATCTCACTTTAAGCCCTTATTTTTGAGTATAGTCTTGAATACAAAAATATAAATAAAAAATCTAATGAAATGACAAACTATACCAAAACACATATATTGTACTTTACTTTACTATATTATTATCTATATATTGTGTGCATAACTCTGTGTGATATTCAACATTAAACATGAGTTTAGTCATAAATATTTGTGAGTTTAAGCATTAATATAAGAGGTGTCCAAAATATATCAATGATTTTGTGAATTTTACGAATCATTTACTTTAATATCAGTAGAAATGCTATGGTTTTTGTGTTAGACCAGTACACAGGTATTGATTGTACAAAAAAGCAGCAAATAATTCATATGAGATTTTCATATGACTTGAAAAATAAGTAAAAAATGTTTATTGGGAGGAATAGTTGAAAATATACAATATATACACAATATATACTATATATATACAGTAGTGTTTGAATTGAGTACATTTGTCTGCAATGTTCTCTCATTGCAGTCATTTCTAACCATTTCATGGTTTAGTATTTGCTTTCAAGTCGTACACCAAAAGGCAATCAGAGATGAAGTTTTTCGAGAGACTAATGGTCTGTAAGAGAATTCAGTGCACTATATATTGTTTACATAAACATAATATACTAAAAATCAACTAAAAGAGAGGCATATAGTTGTAGAGTTGGTGGCACTTTCAGTGCAATTAAGTATAGTTTGCCGTTATATGATATACAGTCTAATATTATTGTATGTTTAGATTGTATTTATTTAATATTTTTTAGACAAACAATTTAATATTCATTTCACATCACAGTAGTTTCTCCGATGATATTTCTAAATACAGTATGACTATATATATATACAGTATATATATATATAATCTTGAGCCACATTATAGAAATTATTATTTTTGTTATTTTTGAAAATTTATTAGTAAATAGTATATATTTGATAACATGGCTGTGAATACAATAGTTTAATTCAACTCTTCAAATGATTTTCAATTAAAAAATAATTAAAAAATGCATAAATTGAATCAAAACACTGAGTAAAAAATCAAATACATAAAACTAATCTATTTTATAGCTTTCTTTTGCTCTCAAATCAACCAATATGTAGATTTGCTATATATATACTACTTTAAGACTACTTTATATATACTACTAGATGTTTGTAAATATTTAAATAAAATCATTATATATTTATACTATAAAATAATAAAACAATATTTATATTATATAATTAAAATATTGTTTGAATTTAGAGCGTAAAAGAGGACGACAGACATATACGAGATATCAGACCTTAGAGTTGGAAAAGGAGTTTCATTTTAACCGATATTTAACTCGAAGAAGACGTATAGAGATCGCACACTCTCTATGTTTGACTGAAAGACAAATTAAAATATGGTTTCAAAATAGACGAATGAAATGGAAAAAGGAGAACAAGAATAAGATTGAACAGGGAATGCCAATGGGTCCGGGAGGGGCACCCCATGAACTTACACCACATCATGATAACGGACATCGAGGGGGTGTTTGAAACTTTGAAATCATCAAAAACACCACTTTTAAGGCAAAACTTATTTTATTCACAACATTTCTTTCTCATCAATTACACCATTATATTCGTAATATTGTACATAAAATATTAATAATTACAATAATTGATAATAATATAATAATGAATTGCAAATAATAAAATAATAATATGAATTTAAACTTATAATAATGAACTGTAGTGAACTACTGTACAAAAAAATCATTTTATAATCAAGTGTTTTATGTTTTGACTATTTTAATTGTATGACTGAAGAGGATGGGAGAACAGTGACTGAAAAAACACATTTTTATTACTTCAACGATAGCAACAACAGCACCAACAAAGGCTGAAATTACCGACAACTGAATGACTATTCATCTCAGTATCTCTTCAAATAATTTTACACACACACATACATACACACACACACACACACACACACACACACACACACACACATACACACACACACACACACACACACACACACACACACACACACACATACATACATACATACATACATACACACACACACACACACACACACACACACCACTACCATATCATTGACTTTGATGGTCATCGCATACCTATTTAGAAATGGTCTCATCTCCTCCTTAAGTGTCAAAACTATACAATAATATTAACCTTAACTCAAGTCCCTAACTCTTTGAGATATTGAAAAAAATGTTAAACTTTTTTACTTAAGAAGAATATGGGATTTGATAAATAGTTTTATTGGTCGTGCAATTAAAGGTTGTAAAATATTTAGGAAAGTCCACTATTACTCTAATAATAGTTGGCCTAACTTTTACTATACAACCACTAAAAATAATAAGTTTTTACTATGTGTATGGTTTAGAATAATACAGCATAACAATTGTATTTGCATTTTTATGGCTACTTTCTATACAATACTAGAAAATACACACATTTTGTTGTTATTTTTTGGTTATACTTTAGCTAAACTATAAGACACTAAACTAGAAGCTAAAGGCTGTCCAATACAATAGCTATTGGTGCCAAAAAACACGATAATAAAAATAAAGTTTTAAACTAATTTTAAACAATCTATTCAATTGAATTACAGTGAGTGACAGTGCAGTCCATTTTTGTGAATATTTATCAACACTATTATTATGTATGAAAAATTATAATTTATTTAATATTTCCCGTACAATCAGTTTATATGTAATCTAAATTATTTATAAGTCATATGAGAATAACAACAATTACATTCAAATAAAACATTATATTATTTATTGTGTTTATAAAACAATCAACTAATTCAGTGGACTGACTATAAATGACTGATAAATTAATTGGTGAATTGTGTTAATCAATGGACAAGTTTATGGACACAAATTATGCTCAACTCTGATATGGTTTTTCACATCTTAATAGAGATCACTGTAATGTATACTACGATATATATAAATATATATTATATTTACAATAATTTCTAATGTATACGATATAACAATTATAACTAAATAATGTATACAAATACATTGTATTAATTGACAGCATTATGTTTTACACATATACTGAAAATTTTCTTAAATAATTGATGTAATCTATGGTCTATTATTATTAATTACAGCTAAATATATACATAAATTGAGTGTTAAAACTATGTGAAAAAAGTTTGTTGTTTTTTAATTTTATTACCTATAATATTAATATATTATTATTATTATTACATTAATGTACTGGTGTAAATTAATGATGATAATTATAAATCATTTCAAAACATTTATTTAAATTAGTTATCTTTGCATTTGAGCTATAATTTATAACTGAGACATTGATATTAAGAAATACAGTCTTATAACTTGTATATTATATGAGTTTACATAAATATTAAGATCTACTTTTGAGTGTATCTATTATATAGTAGATTTGAGTGCAATGACAGAGCACACACATAATGTTAGGCCAGTAGTCCTATTCCTACTATATATTGTATTTGGACTCAAACAGAGTCTGATATGCCGAAAATGATGACAATTTTGACCCTATAATAGCGATAATACTAATAATAATAATATAGTAGTAATTTAATAGTAGTGTTAGATAAGGTAACCAAAAGTGCTACCAATGCTATCATTTTGAACTATTGTTTTGTCGTTTATATAATATAAAAGTTGATGGTTTAAACTTTTTTCGCTCCGTTATATTGTATAATATACATGACTTATATATTGAGTAACTTTCAAAAACATTTAATAGTTATTATTTGGGCGGATTGTTATGATGTCTATGAATGTCACGAAATTGAATAACAATATAATGATAAAACGGTATTTATTTAACAAATATTTATACGTGAATCCCACTCTTACTTTTAATAGTTAGCTATCGCTTAACCCCTTTAAACCTCCCGTTAGCCCATTTTGCACTTCATTATACAACACTTTGTGCTTATAATTGATAATAAAATACTTAATAATAACATAAAAATAACTGCAACACAATATAAACGTTAAGAAAGTGATATAAAGCAATAATTTATATGTAATGAGACAACTGTAAGCAACAATGAAAAAGTGCGCCATTGATACAATTATTTTATGTCCTTTAAATATATATATATATATATTCAATATATATACGTATATAAATATATATATATATACTGTATATATTATATTAATAAATACTATTTTAGCAAATAATTTATTAAAATATATTATAAGTTTGTCTAAACATCCTTCATTACAAGATATTTTATTTTTACAATTATATTTACATTAAGATTATGATATATTTTTTGCAATAAATATACATATGATATTAGAATTATAGCCTAATATAAAGTTAAGCGACAAATTTAAAAGTTTGTATTACAATCTTTGTAACACATTTTGAAGTAATTAAAGTCATAAACTATGTGACTGTAATGATTAGACATTAATATAATTAATGACTAGTAATGCATTTGGGTTTCATTAAAAATGACAAATTATGACTTTTGGTATTTAAGTAATACACAAAATACCGGTTGACTGGGCTCTCAAAGAGCTGTAACTCAACCGTTATATTAAAAGATATTTTGGTATTTTTGCTGTTTATGTTTGTCGGGTTGTTGTCGACGGTGTCGATATATGTGATATAAGTGCGAGACATAGCCACACAAGACTTGCTATAATTATATGGATTTATGGCCACAAAGTAAGTCACCATTTATTAGAAAAATAACACTTCTTCTCAACGCTAAAGTCATATCCGTTAGAAATATTTATCGCATTAATAATTGTCAGGACTATCATTAAAACTTATCAATAGTGGACTTTCTATGGCTTACTATCAGTGTTTCAGCTATTATTATGGCTCTTATGTCACAATCTCTCACTTGTCTCCAACAAAACTCATTCATTTCTGTCATTTCTTATATACATAAATCAACTCTAATAAAGATTTTCATTTATATATATATATATTATACCATAACTTATCTCTAAACTTATTATAACATTTCTAAGCATCTAATAAAAGCATTCAATCAATCATTAAATGCATTTATTTTATTGAGTTGTTGTTGTCATAGATTTTACTGTCATTTACAGAAATCTAAAGAAGATATTTATTAAATGATTTATTATATAATTTTAAATTTTATATATGATATGACTATATATTTGCATATATTTTTGTTATCAAATACGCTTTGCATTTATTATGCATCTTGTATTTAATTTAATTTTACAATAATTATAATACATTTATTATTTAGCATTTATAAATTTAAGATGATTAATAATTAGGACTATTAATAATTACGATTTATTTAATAGTTAAAAATTTGTTATTTAAAAATATTAGATTAGAATTGTTTTAATATATCATACAATTACTTATACTAAAAATAACAATTTTGTTTATAAAAAAATATGGTTTTAGTATTAAGTGTTTATATATGTATACAAATGGATGAAATTTTATGTCATTTCGGTAATTCATTGGTTAGTATATAATCAGCGACAAAGAGTAATGTCTATTACATAAAGAGGACTTTTATTTTCAAATGTAATTCAATCGTAAAAGAAATAAATACATAAAGAAATGAAAATAACGTTTTATTTCAGCAAATGATCATTACTTTTGGAGTCCATTGACGACAATCTAGTGTTTGCTATTGAAATGTCTGACAAAATTAGAGACCTGTTGACAACTCAGCAGTCAAGACTATCTTCATTATGTCCAAAATGTGATGGCGTTATACACATACATACTATTACTCAATTGCTATCAATTTACAAACAATGGTTGCATTAGGGATATCAACACCAATATATACAGTATCTGTGTCTATGTTATAAAGTTATGTTATTCGGCATTAATTTTTAAAAATATACTTATTTGTAAAGTAAGTATTATATTATTGATACAATTTTATTGAATTTTCAAGTAATGCATTTATGCTTATATTTATTTAGTTTTTATTTTTATGATCTTTCATATAGTGTTTGCTCTGAACGTTGTGTCTTATATTCCGAGATTTCAATTCAGTGAAAACTGAAAATGTAATCACAAATAGAAACGACTGTAAAGGGAATGTTAGCAATGAAAAGGCCGGGCAAATAGTTATCTCCAACACTAACACTGGTAAGTCTCTCTCTCTCTCTCTCTCTCTCTCTCTCTCTCTCCTCTCATGAAATATGGCTGAAAGTTGACGTTATGCTGAGTTTAAGCACATTTCATGAAAATAGGAAAACATAAATATCTTGTGTATACAGAGTTTCCAAATTAATGTAAAATGTAATGCGATTCCAGCGGTTTCACTGATAGTACGGCATAAGTACATACATACCAGTGCTCTCTTACATTACAGTAATAATTGTAGAATTCATTTATTCACAGAATCTCTTAGCTAAAGAATATATATAAGCAAACAACAAAAGTTAGACAAACCATATATCTGTAAGCAAAGTGAGACTCAAAACTAATTTAATTATTTCATTGGATTAATGACTAAACTTGAATATTAAAGATAAACAACACTTTAATCTTTAAATTAAATTTCGAGAATCATATATAT